ATTCATAAATATTTTAAGGATGAAAAGTTTTTCGATGTTTTTTAAGAACCCTGAACAAATATTCGACCTGGACGAGACCCGCCAAGGAAATTGTCTTGGCTGGTTCCGGCGAAAAATACGTTCACGCAAAAGTGGGAACCTCCGATAGAGAATCTTACACTGCATTGTTTTGTGGAAACGTTGCTGGTCAGTTAGCCACAACGCTAATGTTCTATCCGTACAAATCCCGAATGTCAAGAGAGATTTGGCAGAGCTAGCCTGAAGGATGGGCCGCTGGGAAAACGGAATCGGATTGGATGAACAGGGATGTTTTTTTACCCTTGGCTCGTCCAGCAGAAAACATCGTCTCCTGTAATATTTTTTCTCGATGGACATAAGTTCCACGTCTCCCTCAAAACGACAGAATTTTGCACGGAAAAGAACATAATTCTGATATGTTTTCCACCAAATTCCACCCAAGTTACGCAACCACTGGACGTCAGCTTTTTTCGGCCGCTCAAAAACTATTGGAATCAAGTTTTGGTGGAATGGAGGATCGATATCAATGGCGAAATGCTTCCACGGAAAGAAATCGCACCGCTTTTGAAACGAGCTGTAGATTGCATGACGAGCTTGCAATCGACATTGACAAACGGCGTTGTGGCCTATACCCGTATGAGCCCAATGCCGTCAATTATTCAGCTCTTATCGGGTGACGCAGTGAAGAACCGACAACGCAAGCTACGGCACCTACTACGGAATCATCGGTACCACCTACGAAATCAGCGGAAGTTGATTTGACTGATGAATACGTCACGAATCGCCTTGAATCTTTTCTAACGCCTTATCAATTGAGCGTATTCTAAAGCTGTTATTCCATTGGAGAATGGCATGGAGCAGTCATTGATACGAACCTCTATCAAGTGTGGGCAAAGGCTAGGGCAACGCTGAATGCATCACCTAATGACTTGATTGAGTCAGTATTTCACGGATTCGAACAAATGACATCCGAAGGTATGTTAAAAGCTTGGATGTTGTTGCAATTTGCCTATGTTTTATTGATTTGTAGAAACAACCATTCATTTGGCTTTGCCAACCTTGGAAACTTTGATGGAATGTGATTCGCAACAAGAAAATCGAGAACCACATGATGCATTTGATGAATCATTTTGTATGCCATCTGCGTCAAAGAAAGCCCCAACTAAACGGCGCCTGGAGAAGCTTTCACCACCTTCTGTGACCACCAGTCAAGCTTATCGTTTGTACGTGGAAAAACTCGAGAACGCCAACGAAAGAAGTGGAAATGGAAAAACAAAAGAAAAAAAAACGAAAGGCAGAGAAATAAACCACTGAAGCTTAAAGTCCTGACAAAAAAGCAACTTAAAAAACAGAAGAACTATTGATCCATTCTATATGATTTACCATTTAAACATGAATTTAAATGTATTTTTATATATTATAATTAATAAAACACTACTAACTTGCCCACTAGACTGATGCAAAATTTGACTTTTTCGCTCCACAGTGCTTAAATGGTTTCAAATCGGGTCCCGATTAGCCTCCCAAAGTTACAACTAATTTGGTTAGAAACAGACTTCGCACAAGCCATTTGAAGTTTACATGTAAATTACTATGGGAAATCTCAACTTTTTGTTCATTGCCTTCTAGTCTTGTTCCATATTGAGCTGCGAAACAGTTCGATAGCCATTTTTTTATGAAATTTTCTCAGCTGCAACTTTGATGAAGATTGTTTCTATGTAAAATGAGACAGGAAAAAGTTATTAATTATTTAAGAGATTGGTAAACTTATGACATGATCAAGCAGCTGCTCTGTAGGCAACACTGTATTTTGCAGTGTGACATAGGAGCCATGATTTTTGTGTCCTATTCAACGCCCCAGAAACACCAATGTTGCCTGCTGAGCAGTTGATTGAACATGATCATAAGACATCAGCACATTGAACCATTGATAACTTTTGATTCTTGCATTTAATCAAAAAGTGGTCCTCGGCAAAGTTGTAGCTGGAAAAATTTCCTACAAGCATGAAAGATTTTGAAGCAGACCGATATGGTCAATTATTAAATAGACATGAACAAAAATCTTGGTATATCCATAGTAATTCCCATACAAACTTCAAATGGTTTGTGCCATCTCAGTTTCTCACCAAATGGGTTCAAATTTCGAGAGGTTAGTAAGGATCCGATTTGGAATCGTTTAAGTATTGTGGAGCGAAAATTTCAAATTTTGCATCACTCTATTGCCCACGTAAAATGTGATTTTCTACTAATTTAGACCTATTGGTAATGGTAATAATTTGGGATGATTGGAATCAGGCACACAAATTAACGGAATAAGAAACAAGGCCATTTTTGCTGATTGGAATTAGGATTAAAAACGGATTTAGCTTGCATGCATTATCAAAGCAGAAGTGCAGTGATATACTTAACCATATTTTTTTTACTATTGAATAAACAGAATGAAACAAAATATAGCGAAAGTGTGGCTTTCAAATACGAAAAGACTTTTGTTTTAGAGCACTTAAACATAGTTCACTGCTTTAGGAGAACGGAATTAGGACACAGCACGGTAATATCGAAGACATTTTAAATAGTTTTTTGAGCAAAAACGTGCAAAAACTATTTACAAAAGTGAGGTAACAAAAAGTTCAACAATTTGACCAAAAGTTGTTGTTTTAGGATTTTTTTTTTACAATTTGCCAAGGTTTTCAATACTTCAAAAGATTGCATCTTTAATCAACTTTTTTTAAAGAAATTATGAATATTTAACAATGAGAAATATTTTTCCAAAACATACTTCATTTTTCGCTAAAATTATGTCTTAGACGTCATTTCGATCAGAAGTGACGTTTTCGTGCTGCAATTTATTGAAAAATGACGCCATTGTGAAAAAATTGCAAGATCCAAAATGGCCAGCTTTAGCAGAAATGTGAATGATTGTTTAAAACAAAAAATATTATGCAAAGTTTCAAGCAAGTCGCAGAAGCTCGAGTCAAGAATTCATTTGCACAATATGGTCACAATTTTGTCACAGCGAAAATAAATGGCTTTTAGACATTTGTGAATCATTTTATGGGATTGGGACATGTCTCGAACTTTTGCTCCACTATAAGCAATTTCAGCTTTCTGATGACATAAAAGTCAGATACTCCTAAATGCTAAATGCATCTTAAAATTATTGCTGTCTTGCTCTACGTTCTCAAAGATGGTACAAATGTTATGATCTATCATCTCGAAACAAATGTTACATGCAACTCTTCGAAAACCTAACCAATTTTTGTGATGTTTTTGAGTATTGTCTGGTTCTAAAAGACCAAGTGCCAAAACACTGAGTTTTATTTTGCACTGGCTTCGAAAACCTCACATCGAACTTTTGGCCGACCTTACTATAATTGGATGTGAGATTTTATAAAATCCAGATGTTATTTAGTTGAGCCGCAGGCCGGCTAGTGGAGGCCCAACAAAGAAGACGCCCAAGAATAAAGCCTGAATTTAAAAATGGCAAAACTTTCAATATTCAGAACTGTATAAGCGCTTCAAGAAGACTAAGGTTAAGGACTGCGCGAAGTCAAGCGTTTCAATGGTACTGGTGCCTTTGAGTGGTTTAATGTTTGTTGGCACATATTGTTTTTGCCACTATATAGGGAAATTCACGTATTCTCGTCAATCTAAGCATCGTCCGCGCGTCTATTAGATTTTTCTCAGCGTCACGCACATGACATGTTCGTTTGTTTAAATTTATTTGCTGCTTACTAATCTATCCATTCCAATCGACAGAATTATCCAAAACTGTTTGAAAACGTTTTTAGAATGCTTCAAACTTCTCAGGTGAGTATGACTATTGTTGGCAGCCTTTCCATTTGAACTGCGTGTTAATCAGCTGTTCTATTACCAGGCAACTCGAAATCAATCGCATTTTATAGTGCACTGATTGCATTTAAACAAAAATATGGCATAACGGGATTGCTCAGTCGTAAAACTGAGATCAGACTGTAGCTGAAAGACTAAAGAATCGTGTTAATACTTTCAGCGAAGTGTTTCGATGGGAAAATACATTGAAATTAATAGGTGCCAATGCCGACAGAAGAAAAAAAACACCGTTTTCATGAGTAAATGTGCCCTCAAGTCAAATTGTTGGAAATTATACGACACTTGGGCGTTTATATTTCTTATCACTACAAATATTCAGTGTAGACGTAGAATAAATCCTAAACTCCACTTCCAGCAAACAACAACAAAGCGTTTAAAATTTCGGACCCAACATTTTGAGACCCCTCCGTTTGTTTCATTTCAACGTGTTTTGATTGTTTCATTTAGATGTGTTTTGTACATTTCAAGCTAATATTCATGAAAAAACAACACAATTATAAGGGAGATGAACCAGCCTGCGGCTGAAAATCTCGATAATAAAGAAATAAAAAAAAAAAATTATGTCAGAATTATAATTCTGTATCGAGTTCTTTCCCCCCGTTGACTCCCTCAGTACTGGCAACCCTGTACTGATCTGCCGTGAACTAAGAGATTTTCGCTTGCACAGGGCCTCTCCGCTCTCTCAAGAGAGTCGGTACACGACGGTATAGATATTCACTTCACCGGAAATGAACAGTTGGCGCGTGAATTCCACATTCGTTTCACGTGGACTAGTCATCACCAGTACAGTTCGTGTCATTTGTACCGTTCGCTACGAATGCATATTTTAAATAGGAAATGGCATAGCGACAGCATCAACGTGAGCGCGGAGCTCGCCGTATGAAACGTGACAGCTGAGTTCGGTGAAATTAAACTTGGTAAACTCAGCCGTGTTGGAATGGTAAACTACAGACTGGATTCATGGCTGAACAGCAGGAATCTATTTTGAAGAGCATGTCTACTGCTTCTACTTGCCGAAGCAGAGGATTCAAATTTGCTACCTAGTTTGTTTCATCGTTTGTCAGTATGTATCAGAGTTTTATCATTCTTACTAAATAGTACCTTATTACCTAGAACTATCACTAAATACTAACCTGTCCATATCCTTTCTGGAACTGTCGTTGCTGGGCCTGGGCCGCCTGCTGCTGCTGACGAGAGCTCATTTCGTTCGAAATTGGCAGATTCCACGCTTCCTCGATCGACGGTAGCTGCCGCCGTTTGGAAGTGATACTCGGCATAGGTGCGTGTGCCAAGTGCTGTTGGAGAAATTTGATCCTCTGGGCGAGGCTTTGCGGTTTGACACCACCGCTGGCGGTCACCGCCGAGTCTGTAAGGCTAGTTCCGGTACGTCCAACTGCAACCGCTGATGACGACAGGGAGGATGATGCTGTTACTGTTGTTGGTGTGGTTGCGGCTGAACCGGAACCTATGGAAGCTGTAGGGGTGGTAGCGTTCACTCCCGTTGTTGTCGTAGTTGTAGTTGTTGTTGCACCGGCGTTGGCACTACTGGCAGTGGATAAGGCTGACACTACGGTCGATTGCTGTCCGTCCGGATTTTTGGTGGCGTTCAGATAGCACGCATAGGCGTCTCGTGGTTGGTTACAACTTTCGTACAAAATGCCGAGATTGGTCCAGGCAGCTGAATGGGATTTATCTAATTGCACGGCACATATATAGGCCTGCAATGCATCCATAGGCTGGTTCTGCTGCTGGTAGAGCACTCTACAACGTGAGAAATAGCAAGAACTTTAAATTAATAAGTAAAAGAGTCTACCGTGTTGGGGAACTCACCCAATGGAGCACCATGTGTCCGCGTTGCCTTCGCTCTTCTCGACCGAGTTACGATAGGCGATGAATGCGTCGTGTACTTTGTTGATTCCGGCAAAGCACCGTCCGAGTAGATACAGGGTCTGACCGGACTTGGGTTCGGCTTCGATGGATTTCTGCAAACAGTGGATGGCGGAACGTTCACGCTGGGCCTTCTCCCCGAGCGGTTCAACGCTGTGGTACATCCATCCTAGCTGGCGGCAGATGTCGGCCTTCAGTGCTGGTGTCAGCTGTTTGTCACCGAGTAGCTGTTCGTAGGCTTCCCTTGCAGCTTTAAACTTGTGCTGGACTTCATAAAGATGCGCGATGTGAAATCGAACTGCAATTGGAGAGAACGATTATGGAATCAGTACGTTTCTTTATCATATTTGATTATGGGTAATTTAAGTAAATGGAGCCATCGACACCGGATGGAGTTGCAAAATGCACTCAATCCCAACCCTCACCCATAAGCGAGAGTAAATCCGAGAACGCGTTGCAATTTGAGACGCATGAATGATGAGCCTTAATGGTCAGTTCGCTTTTTTTTTACGACTTCTTGCCCGAAAAAAAAAGTCTTCTCTACTGACTGGCTGATGGCATCTTTGTTTTTCTTTATTTTGACGATATTCTCCCGCACACAAAGAACCTCCCTCTCCGCTCAACGATGGTGGGTAACTCGAAGCCGTTAACCTCCTTAGAAGACAGAAAGCAGCAGTACAGCAAGCAGACGAAAGGAATTAACATCATCGAGCTTTGATTTAAGATGTGTCTGCTGCTCTTGGCGAGTGGAGGCATTTCGGGGAAGGTGTATTGAAACCGCAATAACAAAACAACAACGACCGCTCCTTCGGAGTATGTAGGTTGGTAGCAGTTGGTATAGTCATCGTACAAAATCAAAATAAAATAAAGAAAGGCCAGAGCAGACAAAGATCGTGATGCCGAGACGGAATTAACTGTTAATTTCTCTTTTTTTTATTATTATTGGCACTACGTGTTAGTGAATGACGAAGTCGCGTGTGCAAATCAAGATAGGTACCTATCTCTTTGGGATAGAGTAAGAAGCGATGGCCACTAACGAGAAGGTGGCCAATCAAAATTTGTTTAGAACTGATGCAGAAATGGTGACTGTAGAGAGTCGATCGGCCGATATGGTTTGATTAATTGTGATGTAGGGGTAAGAGGGGCATAGTGAGCATCCCGTGCAGCAGCTTGGAGTTCCGGCCATTCGGAGCAAATTGGTTGGTGGTAGGATCAATATCATAATGATATTGAACCTACTGCTAGTTAATTTGTTTCATGCAGCTAGAGATCAAGGGCCAAACTACGGGATGCTCACTATGCCCCACCTGTTCACTATGCCCCTCCTCCCCCTATGAGTAAATGGCACGACTGGAATTCAGCGCAAAGGCATGTTGTACATTTTCTCAATTTGAAATTTGAAAAATCATTATGATTGATTGCTATTGCGTTGCACTTCTAAGCTAGTTTAATGAATCGATCTTATGACGCGCCATGAGAAAGTTATTCAACGATCTCACTTTATGAACTGAGATAAGAGATGGCCCCTTCAATCAATTTTAAAAGGGTACAAATTCTGTATGGAACTATTCACATAGACACTTTAACGGGTTTGTCTAAAACCTCTCAAAAACGTTCTGGGGGGAAGTATGACAATTTCGCCAATGGGGCAATGCTTGAAGCCTACTTGAACTACCCATTTAATTTCAGTCTAAAAATTAATTTTCCCTAGTGCGAATATTCGAACAAAGTTGCTCAAAATATCAGAAATGTTATAAGATTTCCGAATAAGAAAATAAGGTCTAACAGTAGTTTCTTATGACTTATCGTTAATATTCCTTCAGCAGGTATATAAATGGACATTGCTTTCTTATATGACACGATGGTTTTCTAGTTTTCAATAAATATTAGTGATGATTTTCTTAAAGTGACCAAACTGCCCCACTTTCCATTAAGTAGTTTATCAACAGTCCCTAATGACATCGTGATAGATTGAAAATTATCGAGGGGTGCTAAAGATGGGGAGCTTGACCATTGTAAGTGTCAGAAAATTCAGGTGTATTTAGAAAAAAAAATCTTCAGCGATAACGCCGACATTTCACACCGCACCGTATTCAATATTTCATATTTATAAAACTGAGTCTTTGCAGAAGTTCAGGAACCTTCTTAAAAGTCGAGAGCAATTTGTGGGAGCTAAGAGAACATCATTTGATTTCAGAAAACTTCGTAAAAGTTCAGGGAGCGTTGTAGAATTTCAAGGAACTTAATAGATCTTCAAGAAACTTCGTAGAACTTTAGAAAACTTCGTAGAAATTCAGGGAGCTGCGTAGAAGTTCTGGAAAATTACTAGAACTGCAGCAAATTTGATATGAGTTCAGCAAACTTTTCAAACGCTGCTCAACGAACTTTGTAGGAACTCAGCGAACTTCAGTGAACTTCAAACAGAAATGCCGAGAATTGTGTAGAGCTTCAGAAAATTTTGCTGAAGTTCCGAAGTAGAATTTTTAAGAAATTCGGGGAACTTGGCTGAAGATCAGAGATTTTTCCTGAACTTCATTGGACTTCTTAAAATGTCAGGGACTTTGTAGATGCTTAGTGGACATCGTAGCAATTAAGGAAATTTAATACCAATTCAGGTAGTTTCGAAGAGCTTCAAAGAATGTCGTACAACTTAAGGGAGATTTTTGTAAAAAACTACAAGGGACAACCCTAAGGAGTTGTACGCAATGGTGACGTTGGACTTCGTGGTTTTATATAATAAATCGTATTTGTTAACTGCAGCAGGAGCTTGTGTTTTGTGTTGGAATAGGAATTTGAGCGGGGTTCTCTCTGTTTATACTCTTTAGTATGACGCGATTGACATAGATGGCCCACAGCGACTCACGAAGAGCTACTGATTCCGATCAATAGCGGTGCGGCTCCTTCCTCCTTCTATGGATGCTCATGTGGACTGCAGCTCGTTGCTTGCAGGCAGCCTTTCGTTGTTTATTGGAGAACACCACCACTAACCACGCGGTGATTGAATAAACACCATTTGGTGAGACCGGATGGAATTCAACTTTGAAATCTGTGTTAGGGAAATCGCTTTTCTCAGGCAATCGGTGATAATGTTAATTATCATGGCAACAATTGCACATTCGTGCAATTTTCAATAGTGACATTTTGAAAAATGATAAAGTCTTAACTTTAACAGAATCGTAGAAAAAAATCCTATTGGCGTATTAAGAATTCAAATCCATCATCTCTGGATCAAAATCGGACCACTTTCATGCCGCGACCGACTTTGGTTTTATGAAATTGCACCCCCAATGTTGCCTTCAAGAACATGGTATGTTAGATTTAAACATTTCTAGATAGAGCTGGAATTAGGCGTGACTGTTTTTGTAAACAATCACTTCTCTCGAGGATGCTTAGGAATTTAAGTCACGCCCACGCAAACCAACAATACCGTCGGGTAGGGGAAGTCTTACCCTACCTGATGGTGATGTTGATTTGCGTGGGAGAGCCTTGACTTTCAGGACATCACCGAAAGAAGTCATTATTTACAAAAGCTGTTACGCCCCAATTCCAGCTCTATCTTGATATGGGAGCTGACATCCGATTGATGACCTTGACAAATATCCAAAAAAATACTCTTTTACAAAGTTATGGTGGTCCTGAAAAGGACCGTTTTGTCGTGATGGTTGAGTAATGCTGAGCTATTAGGGTGTTAAACACAGAGCTGGTGAGCTGAATGTTGTTTTGGAATGAGGGTGACGCGCTTGGCATAGATGGCCCACAGTGACTCACGAAGAGCTACTGATTCCGATCAATAGCAGTGCGGCTTCTTCCTCTTTCTATGGATGCTCATGTGAGCTGAAGCTCGCTGCTTGAAGGCAGCCTTTCGTTGTCTCGTTCGTTGTGTACTGGAGAACAATGTTTAACGCTACGCACCACACACGGTGATTGGATCTGAATCCAATCAGCGGTTGAGGCCAGCCTTGATAGCTAGCTGCTTGCGGTGACCCTTCGGTGTGTACTGTAGAATACCATCACTCACCATGCGGTGATTGAATAAACAACGTTTGGTGAGACCGTATGGAATTCAACTTTGAAATCTGTATTAGGGAAATCGCTTTTCGCAGGCAATCGGTTATAATTTTAATTATCATAGCAACAGTTGCACATTCGTGCAATTTTCAATAGTCACATTTTGAAAAATGATAAAGTCTTAACTTTAGCAGATGCGTAGAAATATTTCTGATCGATTGGTGATAAAATTATTGGAATTGGTCCAGGGGCAGCTGTGTTATTAACGTACAAAATCATTCATAATTTTGTTACATGTTCCATTTTCACAATGTGTACCCCCATGTAGAAATCACAGACGTAGTCCTACGTCAAAATTGCGAAAACCTCGTAGGCATTTTAAGAAACTTCGTAAAGTTAAGGAAACATTGTTTAATTTCAGGAAACTTCATTTAACGCCCGGGACCTTCTTTTAATTTCAGGGCCCATCGTTAAAGTTTAACACACTTCAAATAGTTCCTGGAATTCGTTTGAAGTTAAGAAAACGTCTTATAACTTCAGGAAACTTGGCAAAAATCAAGGAAACTCTGAAAAGTTCAGGAAACTTCGTAGATATGCAGCAAACTTTGTAGAACTTTGGGAAACTTCGGGCACTTCTTTTCATTTCGGGGCCCCCGTTAAAGTTTTACGGATTCAAAAAAGTACCTGGAATTCAGTAGAAGTTCAGGAAAAGACGTAGAACTTCAGGAATCTTGACAGAACATCAGGGAAACTCTTAAAAGGACAGGAAACTTCGCAAAACTGCAGCGTGCATAGAAGTGCAGCTAACTTTGTAAAACTTTGTTTAATGACAGGAAACTTCATTTAACGTCCGGGACATTCTTTTAATTTCAGGGCCATTCGTTAGTGCTTAACGAACTTATAATAGTTGCTGGAATTCGGTAGAAGTTCAGGAGACGTCGTAGGGAACATGGCAGAAAATCAAGGAAAATCTTAAAAGTTCAAGAAATTTCGTAGTAGTGCAGCGAACTTTCTAAAACTTAGAAACTCAGTTTATCCCCCTGACACATCTAAATCTTAATCCTAGATGTTCAAGAAATCTCAAGCTGGCAAACCAATCTTCAAAAAATCTACTTGTATCGCGCTTCATCTTCTTCAGGAAATCTTCAAAATCCCTTCGTTGCAGTTTTTCAACTAGTTCCTGGAATTCTGTAGAAGTTCAGGAAACGTCGTAGAACTTCAGGGAACTTGACAGAAAATCAAAGAAAATCTCAAAAGATCACGAAACTTCGTAGAAGTGCAGCGAATCTT